TTACAGGAAACAGAAATGGGCACCATGGTTTGGTTCCAAGGAATTAAATCCCCTCTTCTTGTCAAACCCCTCTCCTGTGTCAGCCCCAAGCTCAGCTCCTCGTGGTTATTTTGGATCAGCCTGACCTGGAGCTGTCAGGTCCTTTTTCTCCTGACTAATCACCCCCACTCTGGGAAGCTGGGATGGATTCCAGGGGGTGAATTCCACCCTGAGTGCCACTCATGCTTTGGACCCTCATCCAAAAACCAGAGGAGAGACAACACCAGCTCAGCCAGGGCTGCTTCCCACACAAGGGTTAGTGCTGCTGCCAGGAGTTGGGATCCAGGGCTCCCAAAAGCTGCTGCTCTGTCCTTCCCATTTGATTTTTCAACACCATTCCTACTGCTTTTTGAGAAAAAGAGTAACACTTGCAGTAATGGGTCTGTTCCTTCCAGTTGTTTCCGTGCTGATGGCAGTGCCATGTTATTATTCCAAGCACAAATTATCCTTTTACACAAGAGGAACGTGGAGTGTGTGGGTTTGGGGGTGTCCACGTGCCATCATTTCTGCTCCAGCACGTTCAGTGCTGTCTGGCTTAACTTATTTCAAGAGATTTTGGAACCAGGGCTCTATGGGAGCTTTTCTTTGCAGGGAATTTTTTTTTCCTTGGCTCTTGTCGAGCCAAGAGGAGGGAAGACACCTGTCTATGGGTTGTCACCTTCTTCCCAAGAAAGAGCCAGGACTGGAGGGGCACGTTCAGTATCCTGAGCTCCTCCTTCTGTGGCATTATTCAGTGCTGTCAAAACAGTGCATCAGGTGGCACTTTTCACTGGATACTGAAGTTGGTGTTTGGACTTAAAATAGCTTCTTGTTCCCTTCATTATTCCCCCAGTTTTAGGCTGGAAAGTTTATGTAGCTGAGGCTGGAAGGCAGCAGAAGTCATCCTGGCTTTGGGCTAGAGCTCTGGATTCCCTCCTATTTGCAGATTGTAACATATAATGGGGGTTTTTTTTAGTTTATTAATTACTTTTTCTCTCTTGACTCTTTCTTTTTTCCAGGAAGTGGGATATCAGCACGGGAAAACCGTGTTTAATGTCTGGTGCAGGAGTGGAGTCCTTGACAAGATGCTAAAGGACAGACAAGAGATCTGCAAGTCCAAAACTGATGTAAGTGCTCAGTGAAAGGCACTGCAAGAGCTGCCTGGCTATTAGTTTAAAGCTGTATTAGTAAAAGCTGTATTTTGGGCAAGCAGAGGTGGGATCAGCCCTTCAGAAATGTCTTTCCTTGAACCACACCCTGGGTGAACAAGGTCCTGCACCTCCCTGCAGATCCCAGGACATGGTCTGTGGGTTCAGGTGAGGGTCACTCTGGTACCCATGTGCATCTGGACTCCCTCCCTGAGGATCACTGGGCAGCCAAAGTAACC